AGCAAGTGGAGGAAAATTGTAGTAGAAATATAGATAGTGGTATATATTACACAGATGGGTCTTTGATTAGAAGTAGCATAGATTGTAGAATAGGTGCAGGATGGGTACAGGTAGACAACTTGGAGGAAACGGTACTTGCAGAGAGAAAAATCAGATTTGGTAAATAGCCATCATCAACAAAGGCTAAGCTAGTTGCGGTACTAATGGTAGTGCTAATAGCCAAATGCAAAAGTGAGGTTGTAGTCAAATTAGATAGTGCTGTGGCAATTTTAAGCCTTGAAGACACATCGATGCTGACAAATATAAGAGTGTTGAGTAAGAAGCAGAATGCTAGTTTAGTAGTGAAGATTAAAGATATATGTAGATCAAAGGATTTAGTTCTTCAGTTGGTCAAAGTGAAAGCACATAATAAGGTAAAATGGAATGAAAGAGCAGATCAATTAGCTAAAGAAGGCTTCTGCTTAACTCAGTGCTCAATATTACCTTTAGAGAAAAATTACCATGAAAGAGTTTCAGTTCATCTTAATGAAACACCAGTTGAGGTTACAACAAGAAAACTAGTTAAGACGTTGATGAGTTTCAAAACTGGTGCAGAGTGGCGTAACTCGAATGCTATCAGATCGTATGAGAATGAAATAGATTCAAATTGTAGCTGGAAGGCGTTGTGGCATCAGAACAAGAAAGCAACTGGAATTAGGTGCAAGTCACGTGTGGCTAGCAGAAATATAGCCTTCCAAATTAAATATATTAACGACAGCTTACCAGTTCTGACTGTGCTAAAGAGAAGAAAACCCGAAATATATTTTGACAATACATGTATAAATTGCAAGTGTGCAAGAGAGGATTCTGACTATCTAGTAGAGTGTATAGGATACATCAGTTACTAGGGTATTGTAGAAGAGGTTGCATACTTACTTGCATGGAAGAAGTTAGATCATACATATAAACAGACAATACTGGTCGAGAGGTTTGGTCTGTTGATTGGCGGTAATACAACTGAGAAGAAGTTTAAGCAGAGAAGAGACTATATTAGAGGACTCATACCTGATGATGTGGTGGCAGAGTTGTTAGACTTGGAGCTACCTAAGAAGATTGTAAACCTGGCACTTAGTAGTTATGCAGCACTTGTAGAAAGTAGTTTTTTTGATAAAATTTAGCAAATTAGATATAATGTAGTTGCTGAGTGGGAAAAAGAAGTTGGGATAGATATAGCAATGAAGAGAAGTAACCAGAAAAGTCCTGTCAAGAAGGGTGTGTTACCGTTAAAAATTCAACATCGAGAGTTGGAAAAAACAAAAGCGAAGGTGGGACGAGTAATGCAGTTAATAAGTAATGAGAAAGAAGCAGAGGTTTTGCAGTTATTTGAGAAAGGTGTTGTTAAATGGATTGAAAATGGATTAACCCCATTTTGGTTTAGTTCTTGATAGAGCTAACAAGGTCTTCCAACCACATGTGGGTTGGTGCGACAAGTCGCATTTAGGCACACATGATGTAGCTGGGTGATGCCGAGCTTGCAATTTTTAATTAGATATTATTAAAAATTTTAAAACTTTGTTTTTAGTCTAATAGTAGTATAATTTGTATTTGAGCACCAACAAGACTGTCAAAGAATTAAAAAATAAAAATAAAAAAATAAAAAAAATAATAGAATTAAAAATTAAAAATATTAATACAAAAATATATCTATAGTGCAGGATAGCAAAAAACATCCACTTTTTTATATATAAATATAAAAATGTTTATAACTTCAGATTTGTTGCTTTTAGTCTAAACTACAATTCTGTAAGACAGATTTTTATTTTTATTATAAATTTAAAAAGTTATTAGGGTTTAAAATTTATAAATTTACATATAAAAACCAAAATTTGGCGCTTATTATATAAAAAATAATCAATTTTATATTTTTTAACCAATCAAATTTTTGTTACACAAAAATTAGCCAATCAGAATCATTATAAATTCTCAAATTTGGCGCTTTTTTTAAAAAAAGTTGGATGTTTTTTGCTGTCTCACACTGTAGTAATCTGAATTATATTTTACACCAGTTGACTGGAGAATCATCAATTAAATAAATAATTCTAGTTTGGGTTACAAATATAGGCATCTAGTATAAATGGTGCCAAAAGTGTAGTAGCTAGTTGTACTTTATTATAATTGTAATATTATCTAAATTCTAATAATAAATTACCAATCAAGAGATTATCTTAACTTTTAAAAAAAATAATAATATATGTGACCCTTGTTAATATCAACTTTGTTAATATCAATCTAAGCCAAAAATCAAATTTTATAAATTTTTATATATTAAAATTTCCTCTTTTATATCAACTTTAATATAAATTCTTAATAATATCACTATTAATATAATTTAAAACAGGTTCAAATAGGTTGATATTAATAAAGGTCATCTGTAATAGTAATTATTACTAAATTATTCATCTATTAATTTAACTATTTATCTATTAAAATTAGATATCCAATAAATAAATAAATAATTAATTAATAGATTAAACCTCTATATCTAGGCACTATAAAGCAGCCAAGTAAGTCTTATTACAAATAGTAGAGTTTACAAATTTGAGAACTGCAACACTGCAGAATTAGAGATCTAGAACATGTATAAATTAGTTAATTTATTGATAGACTGAATCTGTAATTTACTTTGTATTAAATGCTACTTAACTACTTATATAATAAAGGCAGAATTCATTTTTAAAAAAAAAACAATAAAATAAATCTTATTAATCTTATTTTCTACAAGCTATAAAATATATTTTTAAAAACTTCAAACTCTGATAATTAATACTAATCTTTTTCTTTTAAATTTTCAAATATCTAAAATCTCAAATTTTTTATAAATTAAATGTTTAACCCAATGATTTTTAGCAGTTGTTTTATAAAACTTGAACCTTAATACAAATTGTAATAAATAAAGGTTTTATAATATCAATTAACAGATTTGCTATCAAGAAATTTATAAGCTTTTCAATGCATTGTAAAATAAAATTGAATATTTTAGTAACTTGCACAGGAAACAATTTTTCCGATATGTACCCGTTAGTCTGCCAAATACCTGCCAAATATTCAAACATACCAGCACAATATTGGGGATACCCTGATATTTTACTCTTAGCACTCTGGGCCTAAAAGTAAGATATCGGGGTATCCCGATATTTTGCTGTTACGTTGCTGATATCGATCTAACTCCCGATATCTTACCAATATGTTGCCAATACTGCAATATTTGGCGGATCTATGGCAGACTAACGGGTACATATCGGCACCCGATATTCATTGATTTAACCTGTCATTTTTAAAAATTAAAAATTTGTGGCATAAAGAATTTGAAAGCATTTCAATTTCGGCGATTTATAGTTTGACCAATAAATTACAGATTTACATTATTAATAATTTGAAAATTTATAAATTTATACCCGTGTATGAAAAAAATCAAATCGAAAATAGGTTAGGTTAGGGGTACTAAAATTTTATGTAGATTTTTTTTGTTAGAACTCGAAAAGTGAGTTATTAATATACCCGTGTTTCATACACGGGTGTACAAATAGAGCCTAATAATTTATACAAATACCAATAATTGTGGCAAAAAAAATTTAGATTTGTGTTGAAAATCACGTTTTGATCATATGATTCCCATGTCTAAGGATGCCACCTATGTGTACATACGTCATAACAGATAAGAGTATTATTAATTTTGTTTAACCGATTAGATTACGTAAATATTTTGCTATCGTTATATTTTAATGGATTAAGTACGAGTATGGCATGCCTGACTATCATGCCCAGGTTCCCTATCCATGTGAATCATTAATTTTAATATGATCACATATCTGATATACAGTATATACGTACGTACGTACATAATAATATTTCAACGAAATATTCCCCAGAATTATATGCAAAAACAACAAAGACTTGCATTTAGAAGTTGCATCTAAAGAGGTTGAAGTGCATACACAGATAGCTCTGTATATTTGGAAATAGGTCTTGCAATTACGTAGAGAGAATTTTTATGTTTCTTAATTAGCAAATAACAATATCTACTTTTACGTAATATCATTTTGATAATCAAGTTTATCTAATATAGACTAGTCTAAATAGATTTAATTATGTAATGGTGTAACAAACTCAATTTTATTTTTAGTTTATTTTTAACGGATCAGTACATTATCCATCGGATTTGTTTTTACTTTCAATTAAATCATTATGTCGGATTCGTACGAGCGTACGCACATTTATCTTGAAAATCAGAAATCCAAAAAGAGCTTTTTATGCACCATAATTTGTAAAAGAAATCTAAAGTATGCATAGAATAAATGCTAATTGGCGTATATTCTTTCATTATCTGTATATTAGAGTATAATATTACAGTATTTCCTTATCGATATATGATGAATCGATTGATCAGTGACATCACTTGTAAGTCACGTGTTAAAATACATTAGACAAAAATAATAGTGACAAATGCTACGAATGGAAACCACAGTGAAAATAATTGAATGAATTGTTGCTCGTTGTTTTATCAAATAATGTAACAAGAAATTCAATAAAGTAAAAACATTATCACAATTAGACAGCCAAACATCAATAGAAGCCTCGACAGAAAAGCCTGCTGTGGTGAAGGAGGGCCGTTAGGCGGAGGGAATGTCTATAATTTAAAAGGTGAAATATCTTTTAAAAAGGATGAAAATTTTATTTCGAACTGATTTATAGATTACACAACAGGCTTACAAATTGCGCACCAAACAATGATGGAAATATCGTGCCGGCAGAAATTGAGAAATGTGGACCAAACGCAGCGGAATGAAAAGAAGACCCTGGAAAGAATTGGGTTCCAGGTTGATTTAGATCACGCTGTGGTTGTGGTCTCTGACCTGCAGGACGATTTGGAATATCTGCATTTTTTCTGGACGAAAATAATAAAGTATTATATTCCAAATTTAATATTCTTAATATTTTAGGATGTTTGAATTTTCAGCGTGCCGCCCCCCCTACCTAGGGTCCTTTGCCTCTTTTCCACGTCCATATATCGGAATCACTTTATCTTGCCCACATCCCGCTTTACAAACTGGACATAAAGGATTTTGAGATTGCGCTTCTAGCCACTATAATATAATTATTATAGATATTTTCATATTAGAGTTAATTGTATAATGACTAGGGATGGGCTCATTCGCAGCTTGCGCAGCTGTGCATTAAATTCAGTGCCATTCGCAACCTGCAATTTATAATTCAGGTCAAGGTGTATAATGCAGGGCGGAATTAAGAAATAGGGGAATCACAAAATACTAGCAAGGTCGAGGTAAATAGCTGATTTTCCGAAGGTAAAAATAAAATATAGGATAATGTAGATGCCTCGTATTTAATGCGCAGACTGAGCATTCTGCGTAGCCTACGCAATATATTGAAAATTTTTCGACTTGCCCATCCCTAATAGTGACCCGTAAGACTAGAATTACTAACTTGATGAAGACAAGGCCAACTGAAATTTCAAAAAGAATGAATAAAAAAATTATTGTAAAGTAATCGACAAATGATTTAGGAATTTACTAACCAGAATAGATGCCCACAAAGTGTAAGAACTGGAGATGACGCTGTATCAAAGCTGAGAATTTTATCATGTTATTTTAAGTGAATATGATGCTTTGACATTGACAAAATTCCTTACCATATATTGCATTCGTATTCTGAGCCACTACTATTTATGTTACTACTGCCGTTAATTTTACAATTGGAACTTCCTTTAACACCACGACTACTACCTTCCCCCGCTGAGGATGAAGTTAATGATATCCCTGTAGACAGACCTGTTGAAATATTTGATTTTAACTGTTTGGACGGCGTGTGTATTGGTGCAACACGACGATTTCTTAGAGTAGTTCTATTTTTTGAAATCTGGGTTGAAGTAAGTCGATCAACAACACATTGTTCACATTCCTCTTCTTCTGCTTTTTGATTTATATATGGGGTGTTAAGATTCGTAATGTCCTGAGAAAGCTCTATTCGATTATGATCTATATTATTATCAACGCTACTGTTTGTCGCTTCCGTTTGTAGATCAGTAGTGTTCTCATCGCTAGTAATATCAGAATATAGTATTGGCACAGACTCGTTCATTTCAAGATTCCCATTCCTATTTTCTTCGCTATTTAAAACAACAAATTCCGAATCAGAGGTGTCATCAGCTGGTTCCGGACTGTCAATACCCATTCAAAGGCAGAAAAAAATGTTATTTTTATACATGCAAGTTTATGTCTAAGAACCGGCTGTGCTATTTTATAGATTTAGATTGTGGTTGATGATTCTATTGTTCTGTACATAGCCAATCAACAAACAATTGACTACGCATATCGATATGGTGTTCACTGAAACTCAGTGTCGGAAGAGACCGCAGAGTTCGAATTCTATGTATAAATAGTTTATATGACCTATTATAGGCAGCTGATGAATGATACGTACCGTACGGAGAAAAAATATTTTTATATAAATCGTTTTATAAAAAAAAAAAAAAAACAATCTTTCTTCTAAATTTTTATCAATTTTTTTTTTTTTCCAACTTTTTCCATATTCATTTCACAGCCGTGCACCGCTGAACGGTATACAGCTCTAAGAAATTTATTATTTATAACGACGAATCTTGAGATGTTTTAATCGGTTGAAATGAACCGAACATCGAGTACAACGAACACGCAAAAGATTAATTATGCACAAGCTGCTGCGCAGCCAAAATCGAAACAAGTGTCGCAACAACACCAAAATCCACATCAAAGCCAGCAGCAACAGCAGCAGCAGCAACCACAGATTCAGCAAACCGCTGCCACTACACCTTCAAATAATTCTACTTCATCCGTTAACGGAAAATCTACTTCACATCAAAAGCCACAGCCACAACACAATTCGGTAATTGGCAACGGTAACGCTAACACTAACGTTGGGCGATCTACGCCTACGATCAAAGCTACCCAACAAAAAAATCCAGTACAATTACCAACGAAGGGGCAACCTCGAGAAAATAATGGTGAGTGGGCTTTTTTAATCTAGTCAATAAACGCTTATTGTAATTTTGGAGTACTTAAAATGTTCTTGTTCGAAGATTAATAATGAAGGATATACTGTTTTTGAGTGATCAAATTCTTAGGTTATAAATTGTGACTCATTAAAAATAATTATTGATACTAACAACCCAAGCTCATTAAATGTTTGTAGCTATTACAATTCAATTTGGATCATTAAATCAGCCCTCTGCTTCTTCTTTGTCTACCTCTCCGGTGAATAATTCTATCGCTGTAAGTAGTGGTGGTGCTCTTCCTACGATAGTACCGAAAATCAACACGATGTTTGGATCAGTATCTGTGCGAGGTGCTTCCGAAGAATTGGTACATTATTGATTTGTTCATTTGGTTAAAATCATTGTATATAAATATATGTTGTGAGTAATATAAGCTTTAAAATTATAGGTGCAACCAACGCCGACACCACCAGCTGTTGTTCCTAGCGGCCCTGGTGCTTTTACTACTACTACTACTACTACTACTACTACACCGAGGCCTGTAGCTGCACGTATAAATGAAATACCTAGAACACAATCAGCTCCACCACAGCTTAATCTCCAAGATTCAAATAACGTAAAAAACGTAGGCCAACCATCAGGTCATCAATCATCTAATATAACGTCTCGTACTCAACCAGTACAAGCGGCGCAACAGTTGCCCACGGCTACACCACATCAACAACCTACCTCAACATCAAACACTCCGCATAACCGTAAGGATTCTGTGTCTTCAACAGTATCATCCAACGACGGTCAACAGAACCAATATTTTCACCCACACCAACCGCAATCACATCATACTAATCATAATCATACAAATCAGCACGCTCATTCGAGTTATGGGTCTCATCATCCTCATGGTCCTCGGCCACACCCACATCATAAACCTGGTGGGATGCCCGGATCCGGACAAGGTGTACCTAATCAATATCCAAGGCCAAGAGATAATAAAACTCTAACTGGGTCTGTTCAGCCTCCTCCTACAATAAATCCTGCACAATCTGCAGTTCCGCCGCAAGGTACGATTCCACAACCTACAATGCCGATTGGCGTGCAACAACAAATGTGGACCTATCGTGGTGTAGGTGTACGTAATTATAGGCTTTTACGTTTTTGCTTATTCTGTTTTCAACATAATCATCGATTAACATTACTATGCGCTACAGCTGCAACCACCATTCTATCCTCCGTATGGATATATACATCCAATGCCTCAAACTTATGTACCTCCTGTTCAACGACCTCCTATGCCACAACATCACATTTCGCAACAGACACCTGTTTCTCAGTTTACAGCTCCATCTGGTGGTTCAAAAAGTCGTGCTATTCCAATAATTAATCCAGCTGATAAGTCTACAGTAGTTGTACCAGCACAAACTTCGGTTACAGCCCCAAGCGGAAAAAAAGAGGAGACACCTACTGCCACTGTTAATGACGTTAAAAAAATCGACGATGTGGATAAAGAAAAGGAAAAACAATTATCTGATGATAAAAAGGATTCTAAAGCGATTAAGATCGTTAACCCGGTTGAAAAAAAGGAAAAAGAAGAGAGAGAACAGCGTGAGCGCGAGGAAAAAGAACGCATAGAGCGAGAAGAAAAAGAGCGGAAAGAAAAAGAAGAAATAGAACAACGTGAGCAAGAGGAAAGAGAAGAAAAGAAGCGAATACGTAAAGAGCAGGAAGAAAAGGAACGTCTGGAACTAGAAGAAAAAGAACGTAGAGAGCGAGAAGAAAAAGAACGTGAGGAGAAAGAACGTAAAGAACGTGAAGAGAAAGAACGCAAAGAACGTGAAGAGAAAGAACGCAAAGAACGTGAAGAAAAAGAACGTAAAGAACGTGAAGAAAAAGAACGTAAAGAACGTGAAGAAAAAGAACGTAAAGAACTTGAGGAAAAAGAACGTAAAGAGCGTGAGGAAATAGAGCGTAAAGAACGTGAAGAGAAAGAACGTAAAGAGCAAGAAGAACGAGAAAGAAAAGAACGTGAGGAAAAAGAACGTAGAGAACAAGAACGTAGAGAACAAGAAGAAATAGAAAAGAAAAAGAAAGAGGAAAAGGAGCGAGAAGAAAAAGAACGAAAGGAAAAGGAACGAGAGGAAAGGGAACGAGAGGAAAAAGAACGAGAGGAGCAAGAACGTATAAGACGGGAAAAAGAGGAGCGTGAAAAGAGAGAAGAACAAGAACGTATCGAAAAAGAACGAAAAGAGCAAGAAGAAGCTGAAAAGAAAAAAGAGGAAGCTAAAGCCAAGGCAGAATCTGAAGAAGCTGAAAGTAAAAAAGAAGCAGAGTTGGCAGATAAAAAAGATCCAAAAAAAGAAGAAAAAAAAAATGGCAAAGGAAATCGGCCTGGACCATTGGATTTATCTCGTACGACTTCTGCACCTGCTGGTCCACTTAGTAGCGCTCGTCTAATTGACGATTTAAATTCTGTGCCATATCCACCACACATAAAATCACCTAATCCTAGTGCTCCTGGAAAATATAAATATGATCGTAGCTTCTTAATGCAATTCATGAATGTTTGTAAAGAAAAGCCAGAAAACTTACCCGCGCTCGATGCTATTGGTATGGATGAGGCTAAAGATGACAAAAAAAATGCACGAAATCCTCCACGTTTAACCTCGCGTTCATCTTCACAACACGCTAAAAGCAGCCCCAGTCAGGCAACGCAATATCAGCCAATGGGAGACTTTAAATCTCTTCCAAAGTCAACCGGTGATGACCGATTTATGATGCAAACTACCACAATTTCTGGTAGAACAAGCTCAGGTTCAAGTAGCTTTGGAAGGTCAACGCTTGGTTCTCGTACTGGAAGCGGAAGTACGTTATTACCCGCGCCGATGGGAGTAGGTCCTAGTCCTCCAAGTCCAGGACGAGGAGCCGGTCGTCGTGATAGTAAGCGTATTAGTAGACACCAAATATCTCAAGCAGGGCAAGACCAAGTAACACCTCTTGAGCCTACAGAGGGCCGATGGGTTCCTGGTATGGTAAATCCTATTCCTAGAGGATCAGATGAGAATTTGCAAATTGATGTTATTCAACGTAAAGTGAAAGCCCTTTTGAACAAATTAACATTGGAAAAATTCGATAGCATATCGGATCAAATTATTGAATATGCAAATAAATCTAGATACGAAAGAGATGGCCGCATGCTTAAAGAGGTTATTCGACTTACCTTTGAAAAGTCTTGTGATGAGCCGAACTTTAGTCAAATGTATGCACAGCTTTGTCGTAAGATGATGGAAAGAATTGATACTGATATAGTGGATGAGAATGTTACAAACGCCGAGGGCAAATTTGTTCAAGGTGGAACATTATTCAGGAAGTATTTATTAAATAGATGCCAGGAAGATTTCGAAAAAGGTTGGAAGGTGAATGTTCCAGTTCCTTCCAATGAAAAAGGTGAGCCTGACCTTATGTCAGATGAATATTATACTGCGGCCAGAGCAAAACGACACGGTCTTGGTTTAATACGCTTTATTGGTGAACTATTTAAGCTGAATATGCTTACTGAACGTATAATGCACGAGTGTGTTAAAAAACTGTTAACAGTTCAACATGGAATTCCTGAGGAGGAGGAAATGGAAAGTTTGTGTAAACTCATGACGACTGTAGGACAACAACTTGATCATGCTAAGGCAAAATCCCATATGGACGCTTATTTCCTTCGTATGGAAGATATTTCCAAAAATTCGAAATTGTCTAGTCGTATAAAATTTATGCTTATGGTATGTTTTATTTACATTTTATTATTTATTGATGTTATGTGAAATTTTATTCATGGTGACATTTAATATCATAACAGGATGTTATTGATCTTCGGAATAATATCTGGGTACCACGACGCGATAACAATGCACCTAAGACTATAGCTGAAATTCATGAGGATGTAAGTGGCATATAGTGATTATCGAATAAATATGTATGCTTCAATTTACCAATACATTTGTAGGCTGCAAAAGCAAAAGAAGAAGCAGAAATGTTAAGACGAGCTACAAGTTCAGGTGGACGAGGTACATATAATCTATTGTGAAGTTTATTTAATCCATTGAATTTTGTGATTAATTAATTGTCATTCATGACATTTTATAGGCCTGCCTAAAATGGCAGATCAAATATCACGTGGTGGCTCAGGTCGCCGCGACAAAAATATGTCTCATGGCTCAAGTGGACAGTCGGTAAGCTCTGATGGCTGGAATACGGTTGGAGGCACATCATCAGCTTCACGACAAGCCGGAGATCTATCTAAATTTGGTTCAGTATCACGTAGTAAGGTACCTTCTAGTCAATTCAGTTTAGCGCCGGGTGGCTCTTCTACTTTCGCTAGTTTAGCCGGTGGTTCAAAGGGTTGGAAGACGACTGAAAGCAAGGATCGTAAAGATAAAACTGAAAGCATGAGCCGTACAAATTCAACGTCTAATACATATGGCATCTTGGCTCATTCTGAAAGTACAGAGACACGCAAATTTGATAGTTCATCAGTTAGCGAACCGACGAAATCTTTCCCAGCGTCTTCTGAACGGAAAAAAATTATTCTAGCGCCAAGATCTACACCATTAACAGAAAATAATCCTGCACCCAAATCAATTATGACTAAATCTTCCGCAAATTCAATACCGGCAATATCCGAAGAAGTTGCTGAGAGAAAGATTAATAATATGGCTGAAGAATACTTTAATATAGTAGATATAAGCGTAAGTATAAATATTGCAATATATTTTGATTTTACGCAGATAAATTCATTTCTTTGTTATGCTTTTTAGGAGGTAATACTATGTATTAAGGAACTGCCCAAAGAATTTTACTCTAAAGCGATTGAGATATTCGCAAATAAAGCACTTGAGAAGAAGCAGTATGAAGTTGACAAGGTCATAAAATTATTTGACAAATTTATAGTCGAAAATGTTGTGGATAAATTAGTCTTTATAGGAGGGTTTACTGCTACTGTAGATTTTTTGATAGATATTGGTGCTGATGCGCCTAAATCTTACACATTCACAGGACAATTGTTTCGTGCTGCACGACTTGATTCTAAAGATGTATCAGATTTACTTAAACCTCTGTCAGAGATAGATGATAAAGGTCTAGAAAAAGTAATGGCTGGGTATAATGATTCTAGCTAATAATGAAAAATTGGTTAAGCTAATTTTTGGCTTAGCCAGTCAAAATCAGCAGATCGATTTTTATAATGATAATTCACTCAAAGCTTTTGATCATTACAAAAAGTTGTTTTTTTTTGTATATATATTAAAAATAGCAAGTAATAAATTTTTTATAATAAACCGTCGATGAAACTTTAAAGTTTTGTTTTCTTACATCACTCAAATTTAATTAAATATTGGTATAACTCGTCACTTCGTTGGCGGTTTAAGTTGTTACAATTTGTGCATGAAATTATAGCAGACCAGTATGGTATAGGTGGGCAGGTTAGCATAATATAGGCCGATTTTTAAAATTATACTATACGGATCTGCAAAATTATAGAAACTAACGCTCATATACCGTATACTTCCGAAATTAAGCACCTCTGAGCAATTTTTATAGCCAAAATTCTCGTGATCTAATAATCGGATCCGTATAATTTTGGTACCAAGCTGATTCGAATGATACCAAAATTACGTAGATCCGATTATTAGATCACGAGAATTTTGGCCATAAAAATTGCTCCGGTGCTTAATTTCGGAAGTATACGGTAATACCTGGTCCGTATAGTATAGATTTAAAAATCGGCCTATACTATACTAACCTGCCCACCTATAGGGCAGGGACACGGAAATATTTCGATAAATTTCGATTATTTTTGCCAATATTTCGATAAATTTCGATTATATTTTATGAAATTAGGTGTAACGTGATATAACGTGATATTGGTTTGCATTCTGATTGGTCAATTTTAAAGATCTGCAAAAAAAATCGCATTTATTTGGATTTATTTCATGTTCCTGCTATAAGGTACCCTTATATACAGGTAGGACCGTCCCAAATATGGAAACCCTTGGTTGACTCAGGACCGACGATCATGTTATCCATTCAACCAATCAAAATCGCGAATTTTGACTATACGCAGATGATAAGTATCTCTTTATTACTGTATTACAGTATAAGATTTGAATTTACGGCTAATTTTTTTTTTTTTGCACTTTACAAGATCGGATATAAAAAATCCATCGTTCTTGAAATGCTACGGGATATCAAGTCATGTTTCAGGAAGTTACCTTATTTTGAATACGCGGAAAGGAGATCTTTACGCAAAAATCTTCACGAAGTATCAAAATGAAATGGAAAGAAAAATTAAGTTGTATAACATCAGATCTTCAAGCAATATCCGCAGGGATTAGAACATCGGAATCTTCATAGTGGAAATATTTTGCAAGATGAACTGGATAACGCGTAAAAAAAGAAGTATGCGGAATTTTACCTTACATTGCAACAGAAATTTTACAAGGAAAACAATATACTCAAGCGGTTGATATTTATACCTTGGATGTTATTATTATAATTTTAAATATTACGGGATTTATTAAAAAATTTTTAATGTAATTTTTATGATAATCGAGGGGTTAATTTCAGAATTTAATAAAAAATCTTTATGATAATTGAGGGGTTTAAGTTCCGAATTTATTTAATATTTAAAAAATTTTTTTTTGCATTTTCTAATAAATTATCCTCTATCTCTATATTATTTATTACCGCCTCATCATCGTCTGATTCATCCTCAACAGTACTTTCAGTACTCTCGTTAATAAATTCGTTTTCGTTTAAATCTTTCCTCATGCTTACCTTTAATGCGGCAATATTAATCTTAATTTCATCCCGAAGATAGCCTAAACAAATTAAACACTTAAAGTTGCATCTTTGTAAGCAACGGTTATGATAACCATGCCCACACGCAAGGACAATACCATTTTCGAAACAATTTGTGTAATTAGTACAATCGCAACGTAGATAATCACACAAGACACTTGTATACGGTTTCCTGGAGGTAACAAAACCTCTTGGAAGATGGCGATCGGTTATCTCATAATCTAAAGAAGGCAACTTATATGTATTAATACCATCATCAGACGAACTAATGATCAAAGGATACAGATGACGTCCTTCATATATCTTTGTAAAGACTTCTAAAAGAACTGTGGCACATTTGCGGGATAACATGTGTAGTTGTTTCGGTTTATAAGGATACTTCATAGAATTCACGAAGTGTTGACGAAATATGTTATCCTCTCGATTTTGAAAAATAAAACGTGCCTCTTTTTGCAGTTGATCCGCCGTGAAAAATTTAGCCGTACGTCGTCGAATGATACTATGGACAGTTTCTACAGGACAATCGCTTAAAGACGCGAGATGGTCAGTAATTATATTCATTATTGGATGGTTAGTATCTGTCCAAAAAAATATATCCGAAAAAAACATTAAAGGGGCACGTTTATAATTTCTTCGATCAAATCGAAGAAATAAATCACTCCAACAACGTAAACAGGCTTCTTCATAAGCTGCCCAGTCACCTTCTCGATGGTGCACCGCATAAACGTCGAGAACTAAAGGAATTAAATTGCTCAAAAGATCGGTTAGATATAAAAATTCAAGATTCTTGCATGTTTGACCAAACTTTAAATAAACTACATTAGATATGTCAAGCCACGCCATACGCATAAGTTGGAGAATTAAATCGATTCGCCATGGCCGCGGCTTCTTACCAAGGTTTTTCTTTTTTCCAAATATGCCCTTGTAAATATCGTTAAATAGGGTCGAATTTTTCTTATAAACAAGCTCCCGACTATTCAAAGACACATGAAGGGGTCCCATAATAGGCAAGAACGACGTAACAAACGAAGGAATGATTTCATTGTTGAGAAGAAGCCGGTGCGCAATAGCCTTGCGAATAAAGAACTGACCAGGCCAATCTGCAACAACAGGGATTACGTGGTGGGAAAGATATTCTTGCATCGATTCTTGATTATATACGATTTGAAGGGCTCTTGTATAATCTTCCACACCCTTCAAATTGCCTCCAACGAAATCAAAAAGAATGGCATTTTGTATATGTCGGTCGTTCTTTTTTTCCACTAACCTATTGTTGTAACTATGCAAAGTTAGTTTTTCAATGAGCTCATCGTCGGAACACTCACCTCTATAATTTTGACAACGTTCATGATAAGGAATACCAAGGCTTGTAATAAACCGTTCGTCGAGATGTTTTATTATCAGATCACCATCAAGAAATTTTGGATTGAATACCCCATTACGTGGTATCGCCGCCATGGAACATGGATTTGCCACAATTGTTGCCATGTGTGTTGGATGGGATGTACTAGTAGAATCAGACTGCCGTGGAACATGAATATTGTGATAGTCATCAATATTCAGCATGAAAGCTCTATCCAAA